ATACGGTGTCATTTATTTATTAACATGATATTATCATGCTTATAGACACATTTAATAAAATTACTTTACATTGAAATACCAATTGTTCAATTCATACTACTATTCAAATGTAATAAAGTATTTTTTCTAATAATTTAATTGAACTAATCATAATAATACTTTTGTTCTTTTTACACTTCCATTTCTACACCTCTATGTGTGTCTTAAATGTATTGTTTTCATTATTATCAGAAGGGATACATTCTCTAGGCTACAATTCATTTTATTTATGTAAAATAATTACTTATATTATTACAGCTATAATTATTCAACAATAATTGCTGCTATTGACCTTTATTCGGTCTGCAGTGCAATTCACTATAACATGTAGTTTAAATGTTACTAACTAATTGATTACAATAATATGCTCTCCACACTTTTTTTATTTATTCAAAATGTGCTGTACTTATTACATTCCCTATCGGTGAGCTGATTTTTATATGCTTATATTAAGTCACATGTTATTGATATGTAGTCAAACATTATAATATCACATATGACACATATGTTGAATGCTTATTCTTTATCCATATACTGTACACACATGTAGATATATCATGTGGCTTTACAATAACCAATTAAATTAGTATGATGTTGAGTGCATTGAATACACATTACATTAATATAGGTATTGCACTTTTACGTATTTTTATATGACACAACGAATAACCTAAGTTAATATTGCATTGAATACACATTCGTGTAGACAGTAGTGCAACATTTTTGTTTAAATATCTATAGTTTACATTTTAATTACTACTCACTCATTAAAAGACCTATTTCAAGTTTAAACGTTAAGATTAAACTCCAACAGCTCCTTACAATTTCATATTAACTATACTATAAATAAATATATATCACATGTATATGTTACGGTCAATGACGAAAACTGAACATTTACGTTATTAACCGGTCATTAACGTTAGAAGCCAAGTTGCTAAGTTATTTTGGTAAACTACCGGGCAATAACGTCAGTTTCCAAGATAATAGATTATTGTTGTAAATTAAAAAACAAAATAAATCATATTTACCTCAATGACCGAATATTAACATTATTCACCATTGACTGTTAGTCAATTACGTAAATGCAGGGGCGTACCGAGGAGGTTTTTATTGGGGGGCCAAAGTTAGTAGTTTGGCCAACTCTAAAAATTGATCCGGGACAACTTGTTTTTGTTATTTTGTCGTAGCCATTTCATCGTTAAACAGTTAAAATGTTTTAATTATTTAAGTAAATTAAAAATTCAAGCTATTATACTAATAGATTATGAAAATTGTTTATAATATATAAAGATACCACATTTGCAATAAAATAATAAATAATGTTAAAAAAAAAAAAAAAAAAAACAAAGTAAATAATAAAAAGGTGGGCAAGTGGGTGTCGCTCTGCTGTACAGTAGGTTCAAGAGGGTCACTGTATAATGGATGGTATTACATTTGAATTCAATGATATTATATCATTGTATAAGAAAAACGATTCTGAGCGAAGACGGTATGTCCTTCTAGGTATAAGACATATTATATACTTATCTATGGTATTAAAAAAAATTGACCTATAATGAATTCCAAATTAATCATATCACAATATCCATTAGGTACTTATAACGCGTAATACACCAACGACAAACCCTGATACTATCATAGATATATAGTAGTATACTTTAAAAGTTTCAAGTACCCACGAAAAATATTATACAATCACAACAAAATAACTAAAATAGTTATTCTAGGTTTTTTATTATGTAATTTCGCCCAAATTTGAATTTAAAATGTCTGTAAAAAATAACTGTGTTCATATATTTTTTAGATTTTTTGGTTACAGTATGAACTATTTATGAGAACCTTTGTTTTAAATTTGCAATCCTTAGCTATGAAAACTGAACATTTAATAATTTATTAATTACAATGATTGATAATTTTCGAGATTTTGATAAATGTTGTCAAAATTCGATCTTTAAATTCTTATAAAAAAAAACTATGCTTATATATTTTTATAATTTTTCAATTGCTATTGTAACAATCTATCAGGACCCTTGTATTAAATTTTTACACTTTTTGGCCCAACAGATAACACTTTATTGATATTTATAGAAAAAAAAACTAAAGAAAATTGAAAGCGGTAAATGTCCGTAAACAGCTCAAAAAAAATCAAAATATTTTCAAAATTGTACGGTGTATAGAAAATGCTAATATGAACATTCAGTGAAATTTTCATGTTATTGTCACAGTTATTCGTTTTTGAATTACAACAAAATAAGAAAATCGCTACATGAGAAATCGAGTGAATATCCAATGTTGTAAAAATTTGAATTTCAAACGCTCATAAAAATTTAATTTGACTTTCTTATAGTCATTTTTGTTTTGATAAAGGTAGATAATCTTATAAGGAATCTTGTATTACATTTTAAAATCTTAGATTTAAAAAGAAAAATTTTTACGAATTCTTAACTCAAAATAATTTGCTAATTTTCGTGATTTTTCCATATTTTGTCAATTTTTGAACTTTAAATGCTTATAAAAAAAATTGTGACTAAGGATTTTTAATATTTTTCATCTGCCTATGAAACAATATACTAGGAGCCTTCTATTAAATTTTCAAGCTTTCGCAACCAACAAATAAAATTGTATTGATATTTTTAGAAAAAAAACTAAAAACAAATGGAAAATGAAAATGTCCTTAAACAGTTCAAAATAAATCAAAATATTTTGAAAACGTTATCGTGTATAGAAAATGCAAATATAAACAACCAGTGAAAATTCCATGTATATACGTTCATTTGTTTTAAAGTTACACCAAAAACCAAAATCGATTTTTTGGAAAACTGATTTTGCGTAAAAATTCCCGTTTTTCCTTAATTTTTATGTTGTTTTTCCCGGCGCTTGTGAAAACTACTAGGACATTTTTACATAATATTACAGATAAACATAACGGGACGTATAATAATTATTGTAAATAATAGTGGTAGGTATCGCAAGCCTGCAGTACTGATACATACATTTATAACAAAATACAAATTAGATGCCATCGACTGAAAATATCAAGTCAACCACGTTCAGTTGGCTATTTATAGTATCTGGTATCATTAACATTGGGATTTTCAAACTCCCTCACCATTGCACCTATTCCTCTTATTATTATTACTGACGCACTGATAACAATTTAGTATTTACTGCTTATTTTTCCGATAATAGACAACAGATATTTTTCTAGTTCAGACTGTATAATAATATTATTATAATATATTCACTATATTATTCTAATAACCTTGATTCTTGTCAATATCACCATCACAAATCACAATCGTCAATCGTATACAAATTATTAGTTGGCCATTATGTACAGTTATTGAGTTTTTCATAAATGTAAAATGGCCAACTCAAAAGTTAAGAAACCAATTATTGGGGGGGTATTATGACCACCCTACCCCCCCACTAGGTTCGCCCCTGATAACATTTTCTCTGAGTATTAGATTATAAATATAAAATATGTACCTACACTTATATAATGGTAGGTACATCGTACATAAGTACATTGTACTATTGTACATACTACATACTATACACACAACACACTGGCAATACTGCATGTTTATATATCATGATATGTGATGACTGATCTCATATCATTGTTCATTATATTATTTAAGATTTTTAGATTCTGAGTGAAACGATGATGTATTGATTTTACAATGATGTGTGTTATTTTTTTAATTTTTAATTTTTTTTTGTGTCTGTCATCACCTTTTAGGACAGTAAAAGTGCTTGGATTTTCTTCAACAGTATATTGTCTGATAGGAAAGTCAATCTAGTTGGCACTTTGGGGGGTCAAAAGTAACATTTTTTCAGTAGTTTTCAAACGCACTGCAAAAACAAAAGAAAAATTAAGGTAAAACAGGAATTCTTACGCAAAATCTGTTTTCGAGAAAATCGATTTTGGTTTTTTGTGTAACTCTAAAAAAAATGACCGTAGATACATGACATTTTTACTGACTATTTATATTAGCATTTTCTATACACCATGCCTTTTTAAAAATATTTTGACTTATTTTGTTTAGGGACATTTTCAGTTTCCAATTTTTTTAGTTTTTTATTCTATGATATCAATAAAATTTTATTTGTTGGTTAAAAAGCTTGAAAATTTAATAGAGGGCTCCTATAGTATATTGTTTCAAAGGCAGATGAAAAATATTAAAAATCCTTAGTCACAGTTTTTTTTTATAAGCATTTTAAGTTCAAATTTGGATGAAATTACATATTAAAAACCTAGAATAACTATTTTAGTTAATTTGTTGTGGTTGTATAATATTATTCGTGGGAACTTAAAACTTCTAAAGTACACTATTATATATCTATGATAGTTCAGGGTTTGTTGTTGATGTATAACGCGTTATAAGTTCCTAATGATATTGTGATATGATGAATTTGGAATTTATTATAATTCAATTTTTTTTAATACCATAGACAAGTATATAATATGTCTTATACTTAGACTGACATACCGTCTCCGCTCAGAATCGTTTTTCTTATACAATGATATTACATAATTGAATTCAAATTTAATATTATCCATTATACAGTGACCCATTTGTAATCTACTGTACAGCATATCACCTTTTTTTGTGGTGATTGTATCAAATTCTTTGATAACAAGTACCTACACAGTTTTGTATTATTATTATTTTTTAATTGATTTTGATTTCATAATATTGTTTTAAAAACACATTAAATTTTATAATAATATGTATAAATAAATCAATTATAATAATTATATAATAATTGCAATAATTACTATAAATTATATGATTATTGATCTCTGAGAAGTCTGCTTTCCAGTTTCGAATATTATTTTAGTATTTTCAGCTAGATTTTAAATGTTTATAGAAAACCATATGATATTAAATTGTTATTTTGTAATAATAATTGTAGCTACACAAACATTAAACGTTGTTGTTAAAATAACCATGATAATGGATCATAGGAATTCAATAAAGGTAAGTTTACATTTTGAACAGTTAAATGTCTCCTATGTTATATTATATTTGTTAAACATTTTTTTCGATCGATGGTTTGATACATATTTAAATACTAAGTACCTACAAGTAATTATATATATTGTTTGAAATGGAATCTAAAGTATGTATGGCAATAGATTAATAAATTAGTTTAAGACATACCTACTTTTATAATATCCAACCCATAATAAGTTAAATTTATTGTAATTTCATTTTTATAAATAACTTAGTTTAACAATGCATTCAATATAATACATTATATTTTATGAAAATAGTTAGTAATTTCAACGGTCTCATACAAAGGGCGTAGGTAGGTAGTTACTATAAAATTATTATAATGTTATAAATTTGATAAAAGACTTATTTTCTTTATAATATATCTTTAATCCTTATAAGTTATAACCTATTATAATATTTCAAAAAAAATGTATGACACTATTGTAATTCAACTCGCGAAGTGTAGATCGGTCAGTAGGTACCTACTCTACAGTATATCCTTGTATATTTGTGAGAATCGTAGTGTGAATATGGATACTAGGAAAGTGTGTCACACAAATTAATAAAGTAATGGTCATAGTGTGATGATAACAAAACAGGAAGCTTAAAAATAAAAATAATACCTTCTTATTAATGTTGTAAATTGAAAACCTAAGAAATGTGTATCAAAAAATGGAATATATAGGTATGAAAAAAAAATATTGGGCAGAGTACTTTCTAAATGTAAAACATGGCGTATAAATTAAATATTGTTCATAAATTAAGCTGGGAACAAATAACTATAATACTACTATACATGTAACTTTATAATACAATGATATTTATTATATCAGTGTTCTGTAAATTAGGTCATCTGTTATTTTTCAATGATTGGGTAACTTGCAAGACGTAGGTTTATACTGTTTATAGTTTACCTGTTTATACAATAAAATATAATGTTTATTAGAGATAAGTTATGGCAGTAGTCAGTTAAGGTATTTAAAACGGTTCATTGGAACATTTAATGGGATGAGACGAATTCTATTGTATACCTAGCTATTTAATTAAAACACGCGGAACTGAAACGCTAATTAGTAATTATTAAGACATAGATGTGTTCGAACGATAATCTATTTTCTAAATATCTATGTTTTAAAGGTATCTTTGCGACAATCAAATAAAACCGATTACAATAATTCATGTCGTATAACCTATTAATTATTACCTATGAATACAAAGTTATGTGATTATACTGATTTCAATAACAAATGTTCAATCTTTGAAAAAATCGGATAAAGTGTCATCTGTATAATATAGTAAAATGTTTTACGTTATTATAATTTTTTTTGCAGTATAAATTTACAAAACCTACACTAAGTTCATGGGTTTTAAATACCTATTATACTTTAACGCAACCTTCGCAAGGACCAATGTGGATGTTAAAATATAATAGTAATAATAACGAACGCATTAAACCGAGGGGGGCGTTGTCCGTCTATTGCACCTCCGCAATCTCGCCCATAGCTATTATAATAATACAATATTAACACGACGAGTTATTGTATAATATAATATTATTCTTATGAAATGACCAGTCTGTGTACATAGTTCGTTGGAGAGGGTATGTTGTTTGATATGTTTCGAAAAAAAAAACTGGTAAACATAACATAATGTAAAAATCATTAATCTACTTATAATAATATAATATTATGTATAAATGTATTATAATCTACCGTTTATGAGTTGTACGAGCTATATAAGTTAAACGCTCGTAATATAATAATATAAATATATAATGTATATTATAATAGGTATTAGGTAGGTACCTCCTAATCATAATACGGTCGGCGACAATAATCCCGAGTGAATCCGATTCGGGACCAGAATATAATAATAATAATAATAATAGTAAATAATAATACGTGGACGTATATAGGTAGACATTGCTGCAGACCAATTATGTATTATTATATGACCACATCACAACAATGTCGACGTAGGTGGACACATTTACGATCGTAGGTGGTGCATTGAACTCGTTTGAACTTATTATAATATTATGTTTTACACACGATTGAGCGTGACAGCTATCCATATAATGGATTACAATATATACGTTCAAGTATTATATTATTATGTGTATAATATTATTCGATCTGTAGTAATGGACCTATATAATATAATATTATATATTATATATATTACACTCGCATAATACACTTCGTAAAAGATAAAAATATGGCTATTAATGTAATGGGGATACATTAAATTAGTTAATTAAATATCTATTTGATAAGCCAAGACTGCTGTAATATTTAACTATGTAAATAATTTACATAGTTATTACAATTATTGTAAGGCAGGTTTTGTATTCTATCCACTATCCACACTTGTTGTATATGTTTTACATTAATATGTTTAGGCATAATAATAATATTATAGTCTATATATAGATAGGTACTATATTGCGATACCAAATCTTATAAGTAGCCATGATTAGGTTAGGTTACGTTTCAACTCAATCCTGCATCACTCAAACGGCCATGTCTGTTCCTAAATAATTATAAGAATAGATTTTGTACAATCTGTACCCTATTATAATGTAACCATGTAGGTACTTGTAAATTTTTGACTTCAATTTAAAGTCAATTTACTCAATTTCAATAGTTTGTATTATTTTTCATTCTAAAAATTGTTCTGATGCTGTTTTTAAATTGAAAATATATTTCACAACTGTCATTTATTATATTTTTTATTGATTTTATCTTATTTGTTGCTTCAGATATAAATTTGTTTTTGTTGAATAATACTTGTTGTAGCCTGTTATGCTATAACTCACAATCTTATTATATCGATTAATAGTTTGTAACGCTGAACTATCACTTTCACACAGCATATTTGGCTCAGAAATGACCAATCTCTTGTCCAATTATAATTGTGAATTTTTTTTTCGGTATATTGTTATAATTGGGAAAAACTTAATTAATTGTTGTTTTAAAAATAATAGGTACCTATCTGCGGTATTCAGTGATTGTGTAGACTATACAGAGTTCCTATAATATACTACACAACAAAAATATAACTGAAAAGTGTGCAAAATTAATTGATTATAAAAAGCCTGTTTCATTTAGTCATGCGAGACTTGTTTTTTTTTTCACAATAATAGTAAAACAAATAAATAATAATAAGTCTTGTTGAATTTGTACAGTCGACGCCAGAAGATGATTACGTTTCTTTCATGGTCTATCTGCGAACAAACGGCGTCTGGAAATCCGTGAGCGACGTGTTCAGGATGTTAAACGAAACTAGGCCCAAAGATCCGATCGAGTAAATTATTATACAATACATAATATATGTATATATGTTTTTTAAAGAAACTATGTACCTATAGGTACCTATATGGTATTATCTACAGTCAAGGTTATGGGAGTATTTTATTTTTTTTTTTGGTAGTTTTGTCCGATCAATGTTTTGAGAAATTACCTATGTTTTCCTCTTCAATGTATGCCTATTTAGGTTTTTCAAGGCGAATATTAAGATCGATAACAGCGACAACAGAGCCATCGAAGAAACGCGTCGTGAAATTGCAGAGGCCGAAAAAAAGCTAAGTATTTTAAGACACGACAAACTCGTGTTGACGGCTAATTTGGATTTGCTAGACATGACAATTTGTCTGAAACAAAAACCAAATTCGGGTGTCGGAAGCACCGCCGTCGACTACGCGGAGGACGACGACGAAATGATTTCCGAAACGCTTTCTCATTCCGAGCACGTATAGGTGTGCGCACGCATCGGACGAGCGGACAAACGGCTGTGACGACGGACGTAGAACAATCGAGTTATATAGCATTAAAAAAATAAAAATTATTGTCCACACGCACTGGCAACGATTCGTATTGGCCGTACTCAATAGATTACCTATACCTATTATACAGTTATTATTGTTTATTATATTATATTTTGATGACATACTCGAGCTCGAAATCCTAATATAGGTATATGACGGTCGGTTGTTCACACTCGCCTTCACGACGATTTTATATTATATTCATCAGGTGGTCGTTACGTAACCATAGCTTTATTTAGTAGGTACGTTTTTTCCCGTACGCACTCCATAAATTCACGTAGATGGTAGATCAATGCGTTTCAATGGCATCCGGATCCGAATTTATTACATCGCGGTTGAACCGTTCATCTTTACCAGAAGCTATACAGGAAGTATATAATAATAATAACATATGATACCCACTGACAGCTATAGTGAGTACTTAAATAGTGACATTGTTACACTCGTTCCATGTACATATTATATTGTAGAACATCTATATTGCAGTGATTTCTCACGGGATAATAATACCTAATGTTATTGTTCATCGTCTGCTTCCCGAGATTGATTTCGATAAAATAACGAATTAATGATAGTGAGATTATTCTATTATCACTATAGGTATTATAAATAAACAAGTGGCACACTTTTAAATTAAATATTAGCAATAAATTCAGTGCTCGACTTGGCAAAATTAAAGTAAGAGGACTCTATTTACTTTTAAAAAAGAGGGACCATCACTTGTTTAACGTTATTGAACCACGACAGGGCTCAATGCCCCCATACTCCCTTATAACCCTTTTTTAATCATATAAAAAATATTTATTTATAATCAATTAAAATAACATGACATAGGTAATTACTGTATGTAAATATTATAATATATTATATATTATAGTTATAGGCAATAACAAACTTAAACGGATAATAAAAGTGAATTAATTAATAGTTTAGTAATAATTACCTAATTAATATTACGCTTCACAAATGACAATACATATGTATATACAATATTGAAGTGCATTTCATAAAGTAAGTAGGTGGGGATCACTGGGAATCGGGAAAACTTACGTATACAATTTTAAACAGTACCTATACCTCGTTGGCTCGTTATAACGGCAACATTTTTAGTATATTTTCAAATTGTTTAGAATAGTTATTGTAAATTAAAGCCACAACAGCTGATTAGATTAGACATTCAAATTCAAAGATGAATAACAGGCGGATACCAGACTTTCATAATTTCTATTAAGGGTATAATTAAAAACTGTACGTAATTACTAATTATCGTAATTAAGTATGCACTGCCTATAGTTATATTAAGCAGGTATGTAGTATGTACCTATAGTGTGAATTTACAACGTGAAAACTAAATAATTAAGGTTTTTTTTTTTTTAGAATTAATAACCATAGTATTTTGTATGGTAGGTATCATTTGCATATTCAGCCTGGCGTCGAAGTATAATAAATAATAATGGTATGTAAAAGGAAATTAAGAGTAGGTAATCAAAATCTCCTCGATACCACGCAAAAAAAAAAAAAAGGTAATTGAAAGCTATAGGTGCGTAGTAGTATAGTTACAAGTTAATATCAAAGACAGAAATATCTAATAAAAATTACTTATTTTTAAAATGAAAAAAATTGGGAAAATATAATAAAAATATATTATCCGTAATTGTTCAAGTGTTATACTTGAGGCTTCGCCCATTATAATTATCGGAAATGAACAGATATACATTATATACAGTGGACGATTATTTTCACAATATCTGGAAAATCTATCTTCAACACTTTTTTTAACTTAGAATTTTCAAGATGAAAATCATTGTGCCGAGTGTTCTGACTACATAAAATCAAGGAATACATTAATAAAAAGTTATAGATACTTTATTGTTTCCTAAAACTAACATTTAGTTACGTTACCTACCTATACTAATGTATAATAGTAGATTGTTTCAAGGCAAAAAAATTATACGAATTGAAAGTAGGTATAACAATTTTTTAATATTATTAAAATATACGTTTCACACTTATATATATCAATACATGTATCAATTCGAATACCTTTGTGATATTCTATAATATAATAATTACAGTTTATTCAGAATCGTGTTGAGGACAATCTAATTTGCAGATTTTTGTGTCTTATCAACGATTTATATTTAACGCATGAATTGAAATCGTTATTATGTTTTATATAAGTGCTTGGGTGTTCATGATTTCACGAAAACAGATTGGTTTTCTTTTGTTATAAAATTATTGCAACAGTGAACACTATAGCTGTTGTTAACGAATATAGGACTTTCGTTATTACAATTATTATAGTATTAGCCTGAGTAGTTAGTGGTAGGTAGTGAATACTTATTTTAAAATATATAGGTATATAAAATGATCCTTGTAACTGTTATAAGATACAACAAAATTCATTTCAGACACCTACTACCGACGAGGAACTTTGACAACCGATTATTTGATTTATAATAATATATTATAATAATAATAATAATAATAATATTTGTAGTCGTATGATAAATAAAATAAATAATTTATATTCGTGGTTGAGTTAAGACAGAAAGACAGAAAGTACTCTGTTATTTCTACAAAATTATAATGATACTTTTCATTTCCAACAGACAATCTTTTTGTAATGAGTTTTCGAAAATTAGTAATAGATTATAATGAAAACACAACTCTATTAATTAACTAATGTTGAAAAATTATTAAAATGGATAAATATAGAAACTAGAAATGTCTAAATCGTATATTTTAAAAGTAAACAATTTACAGATTTTTAAGCATCACTATTCACAACAAATTGTCATTAAAAACTTTGAATAGATTAATACAATTTAAAACCAACGCATAGTAATGCATAAACATTGAGAAATAATATTATGTATGTATAAGCTGAAATAGACAAGAACCACTTTATAATTACAAAGTCAAATTGTATTTCAAAGAAAATATTTTATATTGGTACTAATTAAAAAGTAAGTTCGGCCGGAACAAAAATATTATACCAAGAATTGTAAAGCCAAGAGAAGAAGAAGAAGATCTTTTTATATCTAATTTATAATTTTCTTATAATATTTTTGGGAACCATTTAGCATTACCCAGAGAGCAACACGAAGGGCGATTCTAATTATTCTCCAAAAATTATTTTATTTATTTTAATTTTCATATTATTATTCATATATTCATATGAAATTATCGTTACATGAATTTTACATTGTGTAAAAATGTTGGTAAATTGTTTCAGGGCTGGATATCGATGAGTATATTCAGTGCAAAAAATATAAGTAAAATGTATCGATGTAGAATTGTAAGTGTAAAAAGGTGGGTAAGTGGGTGTCGCTCTGCTGTACAGTAGGTTACAAGTGGGTCACTGTATAATGGATGATATTAAATTTGAATTCAACGATATAATATCATTGTATAAGAAAAACGATTCTGAGCGGAGACAGTATGTCAGTCTAGGTATAAGACATATTATATACATTATACATATCTATGGTACTAAACCAAAATTTGACCTATTATAGGTAGGTACCTATAATAAATTCCAAATTAATCATATCACAATATCCATTAGATACTTATAACGCGTTATACATCAACAAAAACCGTGATACTATCATAGATATATAATAGTACACTTTAGAAGTTTCAAGTACCCACGAATAGTATTATTCAATCACAACAAAATAACTAAAATCGTAATTCTTGGTTTAAATATGAAATTCTGTCTAAATTTGAAATTAAAATGTCTGTAAAAAATAAGTGTGTTTATATATTTTTTAGATTTTTTGGTTACAGTATGAATTATTTAAGAGAATCTTTGTTTTAAATTTTCAACTCTTAGTTATAAAAACTGAACATTTTATAATTTTTTAATTCCAACGATTGATAATTTTCGAGATTTTGATAAATTTTGTCAAAATTCCAACTTTAAATGCTTATAAAAAAAAATCGTGCCTATGTATTTTTAATATTTTTCAACTGATATTGTAACAATATATCAGGAGCCTTGTATTAAATTTTTACACTTTTTGGCCCAACAGATAAAACTTTATTGATATTTATAGAAAAAAAAACTAAAAAAATTGAAAGCTGTAAATGTCCATAAACAGCTCAAAAAGAGTCAAAATATTTTCAAAATTGTATGGTGTATAGGAAATGCTAATATAAACATTCAGTGAAATTTTCATGTATCTACAGTTATTCGCTTTTGAATTACAACAAAATAAGGAAATCGCTACATGAGAAATCGAGTGAAAATCCAATGTTGTAAAAATTTGAATTTCAAACGCTCATAAAAATTTAATTTGACATTCCGGTAGAGATTTTTTTATTGATAAAGGTAGATAATCTTATAAGGAATCTTGTGTTTCATTTTCAAATCTTAGATTTAAAAAGAAAAATTTTTACGAATTCTTAACTCAAAATAATTCGCTAATTTTCGTGATTTTTCCATATTTTTACAATTTTTGAACTTTAAATGCTTATAAAAAAAAATTGTGACTAAGGATTTTTAATATTTTTCATCTGCCTTTGAAACAATATATTAGGAGCCTTTTATTAAATTTTCAAGCTTTCGCAACCAACAAATAAAATTTTATTGATATTTTTAGAAAAAAAACTAAAAAAAAATGGAAAATGAAAATGCCCCTAAACAGTTCAAAATAAATCAAAATATTTTGAAAATGTTATCATGTATAGAAAATGCAAATATAAACAACCAGTGAAAATGCCATGTATATACGTTCATTTGTTTTAGAGTTACACCAAAAACCAAAATCGATTTTTTGGAAAACCAATTTTGCGTAAAAATTCCCGTTTTTCCTTAATTTTTATGTTGTTTTTCCCGGCGCTTGTGAAAACTACTGGGAAATGTTTACTTTTGACCCCCCAAAGTACCAACTAGATTCACTTTCCTATCAAAAAATTTACTA